TTTCATTTTAAAATCTTAACTGAACAAACTGAGAGAAGCTGATTGGTTACTATGGGCAACTGCTCCAGGTTCTGTCTGCTCCAGTTTTGATAAATTCCCCTCATAATTTTTAATAGTGCAACAGACAGATGGCACTGCAAATGAACACTGCATCCTTTTTTTAATAAAGTAGTCACATGATCAAGAACCACTCTCACTGGTTCCAAATCCTCATCGGGGACCCTGGGTGTCACTGACACCCAGGATTGAAAGCTAGCAGCCAGCATTAACTATAGCTGTTTTTTTTTATAGAGATCAATCCACTTATCACTGTTTAGTGCATCAGGATAAAGGTGTGCTTCCGTTCAAAGTGTTCCCAGCTAACAGAATTCCGCTGTTAGCATTTTGTTAGAAAAACTCCATTTTGGTGATATTAGCAAAAAATATATCTTTGGCAGGCAATCTCATTATATACACCTCTGTGTAAAGTTGTTAGCAGGAAGATGTTTTTTGGGGGGAAAAAAAAGATATAACTAGGTCAGCAAATTTTAATCCAGACTACAGAACTGAAGCAAAGCTGGTAGTAAAGACCTAGAACTTTCTGAATGTTATGAGAAAATTTTATTTTTCAGAACAGAAAAAGGTAAGAATCTGAAAACATGTTTGTTGAAATCCTTGATCACCTAAGGGGGATTGTTTTTTCTCAACTAAAGTGGAGGTACACTTTAAGGTCCCATTTGCACGAATGGGACCAATTGTATTAGTCTTGCAAATTCCTCCATGAGAGTCATGTGATCTGTTGCGGACTGGAGACGATTTACAATACATTGACCGCTACCACCGGCCACAGTTGTTGGGAGGCCATTCATGCCACGTTTATCTGCAGACAATTGCACCTGGACACAAACAGTCTGCGTCCAGGTGTGGTTGTTCGCAGGTATTCGCAGACTGTGTGATTACATGCAAACAGCCTGCCAACAGCAGCAGATCACATGAGTCTCACAGAGGAATTGGCAAGTGTGAATGGGGCCTAAAGCACTGGTGTCCGACACTACTCCCTGACTTGCTAATGGATAAAATAGTCCTACTGGCTCATATGTTCACCTCCAGCCCAAAGTTTTAAAAGGAAAGATGTGGCAGGCTCCTCTTTTTCAAACCCTGGGTGAAAAACAGGGGAGCACAGGCTTTTCATCTCCCTATCTGCCAAAATCCAGAGGCATGAAAATTTTTAAGTGTGCAGGGGATTTATGGGTGAAGACTCTCTGCTGACATCATTCATCACTCGTACACAAGTACCCATGTATACATGTATTTTTTATTGGGCCTGGGAGGGGGTTCGTTTTATGTAAAGATAGTCTTCTTTCTATTAAATTTACTTCAGATCTGTTCTCGTAGATGCCAAGATTAGAGTATAGAAAATGTAGGCTGTGAACTTTAATTTTGTTTCAAGATGGTTCCCCCAAGTGGACTGTTTAATATTTCTTGCATATTTTTCTCAGGAGATGTTTGTATTGTCTAATTGTATACTCTATTTCTTGCAGGAATCTTCTGTTTAGAGATTATTAACCAATGACTCATGGACATGGCCGCACGAATGGCATCTGTCTTTCCATTGGTCATCGTGGGAAATGATTAAACATGGACCAGTTACATAATAAATAAACTGTGATCTCTCAATCTTTCTGTATTTTTTAAGTGTTTGTGACATAACTGACACTTCTCATGATCAGTTTTTGGGATGGGAAAGCTGCCCATATGTGCAAGCAGCAAAACATAGAGGGGAATATATCAAAACTGAAGCAGGCAAAACCTGGAGCCGCTGTGGATGGCAACCAATCAGCTTCTCTCTCATTTACAAACTTAACTGAACAAACTGAAGAGAGAAGCTGATTGGTCGCCATGGGCAATTGCTCCAGTATCTGTCTGCTCCAGTTTTGATAAATTCCCTCCATTTTGTGTACACACTGGCATCAAGAGGGGGAAATCGGCTTACATCCATGAAGCTTGCAGAGTACTGCACTGTGTTCAGTATACATACAAGCACTCTGTGTAATGTCATCTGGACTTTAATTTCTGTATTTGTTGGCCTTGTTTATTCACATTCCTCCCCTTCATGAACACCCCCACATAAAAGCTAATGCAATATTGGGATTTTCATACAGGCGCCAGATCACTTACTCTTGCCCGCCTATGTATGTGTACATAGCCATAGATTAATGGTCTAGCATTAATCATTTATATGCAGAGGACAACAGTGAAGTCGTTTCATTCTGCACATTGTTATAATACACAGAATGCTAGTCTGTTTGGATACTACATACACTTCAGGTAAACACTGCTACTATGAAACTTCGTTAGGCTGTTTGCACATAGGGGTGACATTTTCAACATCGGTTTCCAAAAATACAAATGTGATCTTGTTCGTCAAGTTCATTTCAGCCTTTATGGCATATAGCTTTAATGTTTGTGTGTTTGATGTTGTGTGTTTTTATTTTGTTTTAGAATTTTGACATATTTTATATAAAATCCTAACTGTGAACTTTATATTTAGCTGTGCCAATTAAATAATTTTATACATTTTGTAAACCTATTTTAAAACAATCAATTTACTTGTGATGCATTTTAAATAATATTCATTGGAAGAAACTAACAAATACAAACTGTGGAATCAGACAAAGAAAACATATTCTAATTGCGGGAGTTTTAAAGGTACAGGTGGGCAAAACAACAGCAGAGGAGTTTTAAGGAAATTTTCATACATACAAGTAAGCTATGTCTTCCAGAAACTGTGAGCTCCTGGCTATGAAGCACCCGTAAAAGTTAGGATAGAACTCCAGTAAAAGCTTTGTTTTTTTAAAGATATAGTGGGGAAGGGATAGTACATCTTTTAGGTTTTTATTGTTGAGTACCCTCATCACAGAAAGTTTCCTGCACTTCCTGTTCATGTCACTGGGACACAAAGTGAGAAGCATCTCTCCAAAACAGGGGCTAAAGAACAGTAAAATAACTTTTATTCCTAGAGTAGAAAATGGTTAACCCCTCTTTCTGACTATTGTGTAATAGGGACAGGAAGTATGGGGATATCTCCCCAATAAGGACACTGTTGGCAATAAATACCTGAGAGGGATTTCAACATTTTCCCACTCTATCCAAAACCAAAAGAAAAGCTAGAGTTCTGCTTTAAAGTGCTCATTCCCCTGCCTTCATGAGTAAGAGCAGTTTAACACTTCAATGTAAAAGCTCTCTACCAGCCTTAGTCCTTTGAGTTGTGTGTTGGAATATACTGTAAATGGTGGGGTTTTGTATGGATCATATATTTTTTTATTCAATAAAGTGTTTTTATTAAAATGTTATAAGCTTTTTTTATCTGTGTGTTTTTTATCAGTCTAGGTGGGGTGGACTAGATTATCACCTCTTTCTAATCAAGTACTAATTCCATCAATGCAGATACGGTATATCAGTAATCATTTGGACTTCACTGCGCCAAATGCTCTTCAATACTTACCTCTCTGGAAGGTAGCAAGTTTAAACTGCGATGTCTTCAAGAGCTTTGGAGTTTTCCATAGCTTCCATGTCTGTGTCTCCCACTGCATTCTGTGTTTGCTTGCTTCATCCATTATGTTACCACAGGACACATTACTATAGTAGTGCCAGCGGAAGGAGCCACTACGTGCAGAGGGGAACAAGTGTGTTGAATGTAGGGATACACCGATACCAGTTCAGTTACCAGTGCCGATACTTGGCATTTTCATGAGAACTACCGGGGTTGCAGCTGGGACCTAGCTCTGGCGCTCCACCACTGTCCTGAAATCATTAGTCTGTATTGTTTTTATTTTATAAATCTTCATTTATTGAGCAAAATAAAAGTCTGACACAAAAATGAGACATAAGGGCCTAGGGCCTGCACGCAGGCAGCCAACTGTTCAGCACACAATACAAGAGTGTACAGTACAATAAGGGTAACAAAACCTTAAGTGAGTCAATATGTTTCAAGGCACAGTGGCATAGCAATTTGTCACGGTCCCGGCTAGTAGCATCAAACTAGCCACTGGTCAAAGAGCGTTATGCACCACAAACAAAGTGTATTCAGTTTTCATTGTGCGCTACATAAAGGCCGTGCTTGGGGTACGGTTCTTATAGCTAAACTAAAGCAGTTGTTCCCAAATGGAACACTCTCTGGTAAAATCTAAAGAATCGTATCAAAGTCATGCTACTCGGCGTACACGGAGCTCCATGCATGTGAGCAGATATCATTAAATAACTAACATTAATTCAGTAAAATAATAACCACAGTCGATATTGTTTTAGAAAAACTGTCACATGACAATAAACAAAAATGTATCAGTACTTGTGTCTGTAAGTAGTTGGACAAGTATCAGTACTTGTACTTGGAAAACTGGTATCTGTGCATCCCTTTATTAATAGTCATAAAAACAAAATCGTACATTAAAACAGAGATGTACAAATCCCGGGAGCTCCGTGTGCTCCTTACAAATGACAGCTGACTCCTAACTTTTGAATATTTCTCTAGTGTAGGCTTGGAGCTGGAAAAGTATCTGTACGTGTACTTGTACCGAGTATGGTACTTGGTATCGGTGCATAACTAGTTGAATGCTTTTAGATTCTTCAGCCGCCAACGCTCAAAGACTGTGACATTCAAACTTACTGCCCACCAGTAATGTAAGTGTTAAGAGTCTTCTTTGGCAGTTTTTTTGTATAGAATATATAGTTTTTTTTAAGCGACAGTTGATTAACTATTAGTTTTACCACCGGATTTTAAAATACTCCAGTACAGTATAGACAATACTCTTTGCAGCAAACATCATGTTTCCAGACATTAAAAAAGTACCAGCACTGTAAAAATGTAGTTTGTTAAATATGGGAACTTTTTTACTTGTAAATCAATGCAGCCAGTTGTGATCCAGACACCCGTGCCAGCACCACAGATATGATGACAACACTAATCAAATCACATCCCAGCCTACTAATTAGAAAATGATGGAGCAGTAGCCACTGATAAGGTCATCCTTAAGGTGGCCATACACCTTACAACCATCGCACGACTTTCATTGTGCGATGGTTGTAAGGTGATTAAAAGTTCGTACGACCTGCCCATCTTGGACCGGCAAATCGTACTTGCGATCATCGCAAGTCCTCTCCGCTGAGGGGAGGGCTTACAGATGATTGCAATGTTGAGCGGGCATTGTGCGCTTGTGCACCTCGGCCCATGCAGCTTTCGTCTTGTGATCCCGCTACCAACTCACTGAAAATCGTAAATTTTCGGCAGGTTTTCTAGCGTGCTCGTAATACGAAAGTTGTGCGACCGTACAGTATATGCGGTCGCACGCTGCCCATACACCTTACAATTATCGTACCATCGCGGGATCACCCGCGATTATCGTACGATAATCGTCAGGTGTATGGGCAGCTTCATACTTGTCAACACCTGTGCAGTGCAGCAGTATCTGGTTGCTGCTCTAACGCTACAGGAAGATGGGATCAGGACAAATGAATGCGATTATACTAGTTGTATTAAAACATACATGAGGAGAGCATGGTCTGGCTATGGTGGTGTGAAGGAACACTGAAACGGATCTCTGTGCTGGCTATAGCTATACCCAGTGCTGGCAGCGTTTCCAGTCACTGTTTCTCGATGTCCAAAGGCAAGTCTTCATACAGGGGATGTCTGGAACAGCCATCAAAGACTTCTTTGCCACCAAAACGCTGGCAAACCGAGGATCTAACATGGTTCCTTGCCCTCCCACTCAGCAAAGCAATTGCTCTGGGCCAAAAGAGATTCTCCTTTGTCCACCCCCTAATCAGTCAGCAGCCCAGTCTGATGGAGAGGACCCTGCACCTAGCCCAGCAACCAAAACACTTCAGCCTTTACTACCACTGACGGTGAGTGACCAGCATGCAGACTGCCCAATTTGGTGCTTTGTACCCAGGATCAGCAGTGCTGCTTCTTATAAGTAAAAAAAAAAAACATTTTGCAACATCTTGAGTTTACCTCACAAACTTAAACTGCACTTATATCAGACCTTGTGAAGGTCAGCAGAATGTGTCCTAGCAAAAGGCTGTCAACTTTAGAAAAAGATAAACAGGATTTAGAGGGCAATGTTGCTTGCAGGCTCAAAAAAACAAACAGTGATCTTGTCTTGCTTCATAGCCAAGTTATCATCCAGTCCACAGTCCACTTCAGTGCCCTGAATGTAGGCTGTTAATAGACCTTATCATGTACTGTGCAGGGTGTTCTTCTACCATGTTAAAGAAGAGACCATGAGAAAAGCCTGGAAAAAGGGACCCATAACATTTGATGGTGTCAAGATTGGAATTATTCCCAACCTCTGAAGCCAGACTCTGCAGATGAGAGCACCATTCAAACTGCTTTTGGAATGCATACAGTCTGCAGGGGCTACCCCTTTCACCTGTAAGTCCCCAGGAATTGATTTCCTTCAGCTTGCCAATGCAGCTTATAGCCCAGGTTTTTTTCCCTCTTATCTTTGACCATAATCATGAAAAAATACAAGTAAGCGGCAGCGCCTTCTCTTTCCTCACAGGACTTCTTAGAGAAAGCCATGGGGTCCTTGGCCCTCAACAGGATGTTAAAATTCTACATGATCGCTGACGCATTGCAAAGTTTCCGTAGTAATGCATAACTCCCAACATGCACATGTTATTATTATTATTTATTTATATAGTGTAGACAATTTACACAGCGCTTTGATGGACTAATGTCTTTATTCAACCTCAAATACTATGTAACTATGTAACATAGTGCGCATTATCTCTGAGGGCCAATTTAGACAGGAGCCAATTAACCTACCAGCATGTCTTTGGAGAGTACTCGGAGGAAACCCACGCAAACACAGGAAGAACATGCAAACTCCTTGCAGAGAGTGACCTGGCCGGCATTCAAACCAGGGGCCCCCAGCGCGGCAAGACAGAAGCACTAACCACTATGCCACTGTGCTGCCCAAGGTAGGGTAATAGAGGTGGTGGGTGGGTTCATAATAACATCTAAGTGTTTGGCTTCCTCTCAGCAAGGAAGTGTGGACCTCTTCCCTTTTACCCTGGGAAAAAGCCTAAGCATAGAGGCATAGGAGCCAAATACATAGCTGTCAGTTCACCCAGGAAACGTAGAAGCCGGTTGTAACCTTCTTCCAGGTCTCCTGGTGGTTGAATCAAATCTTTCAAGTCTCTGGGAGACGATCTTGCATCTACAGACTGCCCTGGAGATGGTAATGCTACCAGAGGGGGATGAAGGAAGATATAGGCAGAGCCAAATGCCAAGTGGGCAGATAGCCCAGAAACTGCTCAGCCTCCCCTTTTCACTGCATTTCCCTGCAAAGGTGACATAGAGGGAGCAGGGACAGGTGAAAGAGGGATAGAGGAAGCAGTGGTGGAGTACATAGTGGGAAAAGGAGACTGATTGGTTAGCGCACTCCTGGGGGGTAGTGTTTGGTGTGTTGTGGCCATAATGCAGCTCCTTGCGTTGTTAGACCGGGGGGTCTAACTGTGTGATGCTGCACGGAAAGAAAGGGAGGGAAGGAGCTCAACTAACTGGCACAGACTTTGTGGCGGTGGATAGACCAGGGAAAAATTAGTAAATCAGGTGAAAGTGGGTGGAAATGAGAAATTGCCACTCACGTGTGATTACATGGATGGGAACACGGGTGATGACCTCCTGGTGATGTCGTGAGGTCTGGTTGGGGTGACAGGTGGGTGTTCGGTGGGCAGAGGTGGATCCTTTGAAGAGGGTTTTTTTGGGATGGTACGTCCAGAACGGCGTGGAGGAAAGAAAAAATGCAAGGTGGTCAGAGTCCGTGCATATATATGGAAGAGAAGTGCATTCTTAACTCACCAGTGGGTTTGGTGTGTAGCGATATCAGCGACGAAGAACAGGCGTCGAGTGGAAGACATTTTGGAAAACGTGTCGAATAGAAAACCTCTTCCACTCGACACCTGTTCTTCATCGCTGATATCGATACACACCAAACCCGCCGTTCTGGACGTACCATCCCCAAAAAAACCCTCTTCAAAGGATCCACCTCTGCCCACCGAACACCCACCTGTCACCCCAACCAGAACTCACGACATCACCAGGAGGTCATCACCTGTGTGCCCATCCATCTCATCACGCGTAGTGCCCATTTCTCATTTCCACCCACTTTCACCTGATTCACTGTTTTTTCCCTGGTCTATCCACCTCCACAAAGTCTGCGCCAGTTAGTTGCGCTCCATCCCTCCCTTTTTCGTTCCATGGAGTACATAGTGACAGAGTTGCTGGATGGCAAAGGGGTGCTGGCTGGCAAAGAGGTGCAGTGCAAAGGGGTATTGGGGTGTAGTGTAACAGTGCTGGGAGGCAGGATGGTTCAGAGTCAGTGTGTGCTGTGGCAGGGGTCCTGGGTAGCAGGAAGATGTCATATTGCAGAGTGTCAGGGGTACTAGGTTCTTCATATGCCTAAATGGAAAAGCTGTGCACCTCAAATGGAAAAACCTGGAGGGAGGTTTCTTAGCCTGAACACCACCCAATATGGTGCAGGCTCCTGAAGCTTTTATTGGTCGCTGGGTGCCATTACTGTTTTCTGCTAGTTTTGCCGTTGAATGGGTTAACACTGTGGGATTAGCTTAACCCACCTCCCTACCTACCCACTCTGCTGCTTCCACAAGCACTGTAATCACTGACCTGGCAGTTCACACCACAATCCCCCCCTCCCCACCTAGACCTCAGCTGCTGGCAAGGAGCACAGCTTCACCCCACCACCACCACCACACCTTCACTTCCCCTCCACTAGACATGTGCCCAAGCAAAAAATTAATTTAGTTTAGTTTCGTTTTGATTCGGATTTTGCATTATTTTTTCGTCTTTCGGATTCGGGTCCGAAATTAAATTCCTTTCGGAATTTCGTATGGACGAAATTTCGTTGCAGCAAAATGACATTAGGAAAAAAAAATGGATTTTTTTTTTCAGTTTGCAGAAGATGAAGAAAAAAAAGCGTGAGGCTTACTCATGTATAGTATTCAGGAGTTCCCGATTGCTATGTAGCATTTGACAGCTGAGAGTGTCAAATGGGCGGAGCAAGCCGCGACATCACGTCTCGCTCCGTCCATCTGTTTATTTTCGGACTGAATGTTATTTTTCCGGTGAGTTTTCGTCTGTTTCGGATGGGGGTCGTGCGGCAGGACTTTTTTATTGCAGCGGGTCTGTGGGGGTCCTGATTGACGCTGGATTACATCGATGGAGCCATTTCTTTTTTAATTAAAGGAATAGTAAAAAATTGAGTCTTTGTTTTTTTTTCAATTAAAGGATTTTATCAAAAGTCTGGACTTTTTACTAACTATTTGATTTAACCCTTTAGTCAATGGGTAAGTAAGTAATAAGTACCCCTTACTTATTCACAAGAAGGGGCGGCATCTGGGTGCCCCCTTATTTAAAGGGGTACCCGATGCAAATAAGCCCCCTTGCCCACAGACCCCCACAACCACCGGGTCAGGGTTGTGGGGAAGAGGCCCTTGTCCCCATCGGCAGGGGGACACTCTCCCAATGCCGAGGGCACGTGGCCTGGTAAGGCGCAGGGGGGGGGGGGCACACGGGGGACACTCTCCCAATGCCGAGGGCACGTGGCCTGGTAAGGCGCAGGGGGAGGGGGGCACTCGATCGCCCCCCCTTTCCTGCCCTGCCGGGCCAGTGCTCGGATCAAGGGTCTGGTAGGACTGTTAGGGGGGACACCACATTTTTTCCCCCCACTTTTTGGGGCTGGGGTTCCCCTTTAAAATTCCTCAGTCAATGTCGATGTTAGGCGGGTGGTGACAGACAGGACCACCCAATAAGGGTCAATTCACACCAGAGCGTTGCACTAAGCACGTTACCATGCGCTTAGCAAATGCTATTGCACAGAGCCCTTAGGGCAGTATGTGCATTAGTGCATGTAGTACCTTTTATTTCACAGCACTGCAACGCGCAGCCGCTGGGAGGTGCGTTAGGGTGCCATTCAAATGAATAGGAACGCAACACACCTAGAGCAGGGTACTGGACACTAGGTGCACTAAGCCATAACATGTGCTAAAAGCACTGTAACGATAGCCTCTGAGCCCTTACCAAACTTCAGCCAGTTTATCAAGAACTGCCTGGCATTCGCTCAGTGTGTAGCCAGCTTTAGAATTTTATTCGTTCGAGAAAACATTTCCATCACACTCTTTCAATTTTTGGAGTTTCCTGAACGAAAACCATATTTTACAATTTCATATGATCAAGAAAATGTTTCCAGCATGCTCCCTCAAATTTTTTCGTCACTGTGGTCAAATCGATCATCCATTTGACCCATTTCAGAAATTTGAACGAATGTCGAAATCGATTTAGTTTATTCAAAATTCTAACTGTGTATACCCTACTATTAAACTATTTAAAGAATGAAATAAACGTTTCTAAAACAATTTGTTTCTAAGGAAATCCTATATGGCCAGCTTAAGAGTGCACGTGGTTTTCATTGTGTACTCAGCTTGAATGGCAGAAAGTGTACTGTCACCCAGGAGGAGGAGGAGGAGTGTCCAGGTGTACTGGGATAGGCTTGCTGCACTTTCACTGTTCCCCAGCAGGGCTCTCAGCACTCTGCATACTGTAGGGATTCCATATGTGACAGAAGGAAGCTGGCTTCGCCTGTGGCCGGACTCTGAGCTGTGCTGTTCTCTGCCAGCTCTGCACACAACTCCCTGCCGGACAGGGAGCATCGCCTGTGGACTTCCAGCTCCAGCCCCTCCATGTTAATGTACTGCTTCTGAACTCCTGATGACTTCCCCTGCTAGCTGAGTCAGGGATAACCCTCATCCTCCTCTCACCTGCTCCTGCTGCTCTCCAGTGCTAATTCAGCTCTCTGATCCAAGATTCAGGTAAGAGTCTGTACTATAGCAGGTATATTATCTGACAGTTAATAATGCTGCATTCAATCAAGTCTTTGCATGAGTTACTTTGCTCCAGCTTAGAATGTATTTATTTAAAGCCTGTAGGCTTTATGATCATTACACAGAAATAGCAAGTGTGGATGTCAGGAAACCGTTGTGTATTGTATATTGTGTGTTTACACTCTCCTGATACTCCTAGTCACCTGTACATCACATTACACCAGAAGCTCAATGGCATTGTGTATGACACCTTCAGCTTGTATTCACACCTGAGCAGGAGCATTTACAGGTGACTTTGGAGACTTTTTTGTGCATTAGAACACATTTTGCAGACATATTTAGGCTTGAGTCTTTTTGTTTTAGTCAGCGGAAAGCTAGTTACTAGGAGGAGGGGTTGTTTAGGCATGAAAAACATGTGTTTTCTGGCATTTTTTCAGACAATCTCATTAAAGTCTACGGAGCCAAAAATGCCCCATTCTGCTTGAAAAGTAGCTCACATTTTGAGCTTAAGGTGTCAAGCTACAGGAACCTGAGCGTTTATATGTGAACAGGCACAATTTAAAAGCATGGGAGTTTGGTTGTTGAGCTTTAAAGTTATATTAAACTCAGGAATTAAAACTTAAAATGCATTCAAGTACCTTAACTATTAACAAAAATGTATCCTATTTGTGTATCAATCAACTGAAGATCCTCAAATCATCTCTGAATTCATACTGACACTGTCCTTCCTTCTGGAGGGTGGCTACTTTTGTTCCCCTGTGTGTATTGTAAAGTAGCCACCACTCCAAGCTCACTCCTGTGATTGACTATGACTTCAATACAAATTAGCAAACTAAATGTGAGATTGTAGTCCATCACGGGAGCAAGCTTGGAGCGGTGGGTTCTTTGCAACACACACAGGGACCATAGAAAACAAAAGTAGCCACACTCCAGAAGGAAGGACAGTGTCAGCACCAATTCAGAGATGATTTGAGGATCTACAGCCGAGTGATACACAAATAAGAGAAATTTTTGATAATCGTTAAGGTACTTTTGAATAGGCACAAAGGCCGCACCTGTGTGGACACACATGGAAACTTCAGCCACAGTGTGAACATTGTGTGCATGAGGCCTTACCACTTGTGGAATTAATAAAGCTATTTAGATTCTCTAGATGTTAGTTTGTCACTTTTTAAAATATAATTACACATTTAGACTGATGGCAGTTGCCTAGCATTTGATGCATACTCCACTTACGTCCCTAGTGCTGTGTTGACATCACTATGAATGTTTCACATAATAGGTCTGTACATCTTTTACGATAGTGTTCTACCAAGGCGGGCACTACGGCTTCATCACAGTGCTCTACAATGGTGGTCAGTACGGCTTGTCTCGCAGTGTTCCACAAAGGTGGTCAGCATGGCTTACATCACAATGTCCTACAATGGTGGTCTGTAGGGCTTTTATAACAGTGCTCTACAAAGGTGGTCAGTATGGCTTTCATCACAATATCCTACAATGGTGGTCTGTAGGGCTTTCATCAGTGTTCTACAAAGGTGGTCAGTAAGTCTTACATCAGAGTGTTCTACAAAGTTGGTCAGTACAGCTTATATCACAGTGTGCGTCAATGGTGGTCTGTGGGGCTTTTATTAGCAGAGTTCTGCAAAGGTGATCGGTATGGCTTATTTCACAGTGTTCTACAATGGTGGTCTGTAGGACTTTTATAACAGTACTCTACAAAGGTGGTCCATAGGACTAACATCATAGTGTCCAACAAAGGTGGTCCATAGGGCTTATAGCAATATTCTACTATGGTGTTTCCTAAGGCTTATCTCACAATGTTCTGTAAAGGTTGTCTACAGTGCTTAATCAACATGGCTAAGTGCAAATTCAGTAATTCAACATTTAAATTCACACTTCATTATTCTGACCAAATTGTCATTGGCTGCTATGGGTTTCTTCACTGTGCACGTAATAATTGCGCTTCACATTGTCTTACTAAATAAACTCCATTGGAGTAGCAGTATAATTGTCTAGCTTTCTTCTTGAGAAGGTATTTCCTAAAAACTATAGACAGTATATATTCAGTAAACAATGTTTTAGGTATGCAGATGTGTATCCCGTAAACCTGTTTTCTACATCCCTATCCTTAGCTCTTCACTCTTGCTTTTGGTTACAATTCACATAACAAATGCCTTTGTTCCTTCAGAAGTTTTTCACTTCTGTGAGACAGATTTCCTGCATGTCATCATTATTGATTTAAGATTAACTTGTTTGAACTACCAAACTTGAGCATTATGTGAGATCGGGCTTGGGCCAAGCAGGAAACAATACACCTTTGACGTTACTTTAGTCTCAATAGTGTCTGGGTTTCATTGGAGACCTCAGTCATTGTTTGTAAATCTTGAGAACTTGACACAAGCCTCGCATTTCCAATTAGCAAGAAGTGCTTTTTAGTTTTCTACATTCTAGCTGTTTGCACTTGTCTGTTGCACAATCTGCTAGTTTCTGTTGATGCTTATAGCTACAGTAGGTAAGGCTGTTCAACAAGTGCAAATTGCATTTAGGTATTTTGGGATTATCTGCCTTGCATGTTCCACTTGAGTTTCATTTATTACCATGGAGTTAATTTGACATTTAAATAGATGTTATAATTTATATAGAACGAGCTGTGGTATGATTCAAAAGGAATTCAGTAATAGTGACACATTACCCCTGTATTGTTTGTACAGGAGCTTAAATATAACACCTTTAAACATGCAGCACTAATAATCAGGTATCACCAAATTGTGGGTTAACCTTTTATTAAATAACATTCTCATATACGTTGTAAACAATTATTCAGAGAAGACTAAATAAACTTACCAATTCAGGTAGTGCAGCACTAATAAGCAGGTAGCCCCAAATCGTGGGTTAACCTTTTATTCAATAAAATTCTGATAGAAAAAAATAATTCAACAGATGATTAAAAAAAAAAAGTATTACATCAAGTAGTGCAGCATGAATAAACAGGTAGCATCAAATTATGGGTTAACCTTTTATTCAGTAAAATTCTGATTTAAAAAAATATTCAGAGATGACTAAAGAAACCTATTTAGCGAAGCAGTGCTGCAAAAGTAAGCACAAAAATTAACCAAAGGCTGATTGATTGCCATGGGTTAACTTATGATGTACATTGTTACTGCTCTTGTGGTGGACTCTTAGGCCTCATTCACACGAGAAAATACTGGCACGTACAGCTACGTGCTGCGTGCACGGCCATATCGCGCAACTCCCCGGGAAGGACAGGTGCTTTGTGTGATTAGTACGCAGCCCCTGTCCTTCTTTATGGGAATACGCGGCCGTACGCCACCCTACGCTCACCTCAAGTGCAGGTCCATACGGGTGCGGGTCTCCCGGCTCGGACGCAGACAGGATCCATCCTGTTAGCGTGCGAGTACGGACACCCGCACGGACGTGCAGGGCGGGTGAGCGTAGGGCGGGGTACCGTCGCGTATTCCCATAGAAAAGGACAAGGGCTGCGTACTAATCACATGCAGCACTTGTCCTTCCCGGGAGCTGCCCGATACGGCCGTGCACGCAGCACGGAGCTGTACGTGCCGGCCTTTTCTTGTGTGAATGAGGCCTTAAGCAGGCCTTTCCAGAGGCCAGAATGCTAATTCAGTTTATTTCCAGAACATTCTGGGATCCCTAAAATTTGGGGGGCAGCACCCGGCCTGAGGGCTGGCTCTTGAGAGGCGTTATGTAAATACAAAAATACTTTGATGGGTGGATTTTGGTCTGCGGAAGTGGGTGCTCCTTGGCAGTCTACACTTGTTTGCAGACTACCCTAGGTGATGTCTATTTGTGATGCTGAGCCTCCATGATTGGAAGAACTGAAATCCAATCAATGAAAGAGGTGGGCAAGGGACAGTCAGGCTGGGGAGGTAAATGATTTTGGACATCTTGCAACCTGGGAAAGTAGAGGGCTCTCTCTGACTTAGTGCATCTTCTAAGCTCACAGTGCACAGTGAAATCAAAGTAAGACATTTCAGTACTGGAGAGGAGGCTGTACAAATGTGACTATAGGTAAGCCTGGAGTTCAGCTTTAAGTATAGCGACGGAGTTGCTTTAAGCAGTCTGTGGCTTTATACGGTGCTTTTAATTGTATTTAAAGTGCATCGGTTTTGCACATTTTATCTGCTTTTAGTTCTTGATATTTAAGAAATGGATAGTGATAGTGGGTGTTTGTGAAAGTTTGCATCACAGTTTGTCAAAAGAGAAAAGATTAATCTCTTTCAATATAATCATGTATCAAAGAGACTGACCCTTAAGATCACATAAAGATTGCCAGAATCTGTTACTAGTGTGAAGTGTCAGTCCTTTAACACTCTCACAATTGTTTTAGTCCGCTACTAGAAATCATCAGCTTACAAACACAGAAAGGACTTGGGCCCATGTCTCAAAGTCCAAAAGCTTAATGATCCTATGCTAATTAGCATTCCACTAAGGTGAATCTGTGCTGCACAGGTTCTATGCCATACTTAATTCTAGTAATTATTGGTCATAAGCCAACAATTTTTACTGCTTGTCTTTTACCTAAGAAGTCATAACATTTTATACTGTATTATGCTAATGTTTTGTGAAGTGCAGGCAGACATTACCTGAATGAGAGATGATAAGTTGTGAGTGAATGTACTTTCTACTTTGAGCTGGATAATGTAGGAAAGGCAGATGGGTTTATAGGTGAAGCAGTACAAACAGCACAGCATTCAACACCTGCCTTATGTATTCTGGAGACAATCCAAGTAAGAAATCTCAGGCTACACAGCTAGGAAACTTTTAACACAAGAAAGAATGCAACTGTAATTCATTTAATATGAACAGGATACAGGATTGCAGGATGTGAATCCAAAAGAGAAGGCGAATGGCTTTTTCTATGGACTATAAAAGCAAATCAGTCACTTTATTCACAGTTCTTATGTCCTATAAGTGTGGACTGTCAAGTCGAGTAGGGAGCTGGGATTAAGACGTGGGAAGTGCGGTTATTAGTTTTGGGCCATAGGTACCTGCCACCAAATGCTGAGAAGCTTCATGTGCCGGAAAATTTTAAGTACAACATATAATAGAATACAGAAGAATTGGATTAGTTATATGATGAGATGAAGCAAAAACATTTATTTTTTTAAAGTTGATGGCAGTTTGAATGTGCCAAAGGAATTGGTCAGTCAGAGAACCAGATGAAATACAAACATATTTTATCAAAAGTCAATGTGCAACACATTGGGGAACAATCCCTAAAACACATTGGGGGGAATGTATCAAAACTGGAGTAGAAGAATCTGAAGCAGTTGCCTATGGCAACCAATAAGCTTCTCTTTTTCGTTTGTTCAGTTAAGGGTTGAACATTAAAGGTGGATGATGATTAGTTTCCATGCACAGCTACTCCAGATTTTGTCTCCTCCAGTTTGATAAAGTCCCCTCATTGGATATCAACTTTATGTAAAATATGTTTTTACTTCATCTAGTCATTTTACGGATGCATTCCTTTGGCACTTTATCATCTGTTTTTCATGTTAGTTTGGCCTTAAAGTGTCACCAGTCATAAGTTCAGGCTCCCGTAATGTGCACGGACTAAAGATGCTAACAGACATAAGAAAACACCTGCTTAGTCCAGCCACATATTGTGGTACCAGGCAGTGATTTTATATCTGTAGGGCCCTCTTTATCCAGACACATAACTTCCTCATCCAGACAGACATCCCCAGGTCAATCAATCATTCTTTGGTCAGATGGGTTGGATGTAAGCAAACACCTGCTTAGCCCAGCCACATATGGTGGGACCAGTCAGCGATCTTATGGCTGTAAGTCCTTCCTCATCCAGGCACATATTCCCTGGCCAAGCATTCATTGGTTATGAAGAGGTCAGGCGGGTTGCATTTTCCCAGAAGATTGTTATTGTTTTCCTCTGAGTTAAAGTAGTATTAAACTCTCAAACTTTGTTCAATAATGTATCCCAGATGAAACAACTATACATTGCCCAGCAAAGCATGCTTTACATTTTTGCCCAAACACTTACAATAATTATGTTTCTGAACAGCTGTTTCTAAGTCTCTCAGCTTTCTAGGGTGACTGCATAGCACTCTGCTTGAGAAAGGAGTCACTGTAAAACAGGAAGTTAGGACCAGTGCTCAGGGGACCAGACGAATCTGCAGGAAACTAAAACTTAAAGGAGAACTATGAGATGAGTGCTTTTCACTCACCTCATAGTTCTGGTCGACCTGTGACAATGAGACTGTCACAGGTCAGCTCAGTAGATCGGGAGGTGAGCAAATATGCACATTCACCTGAGGCAAACATGCATGTTTACACAATGATCTTTGGTAAGAAAGGCTATTTGTGGCTGAATTGGATATGAACTGTCAATAGCTGCTTCTTACCAGGATAGTAGGTGTAGCCTCTATATTTCTTCACATTCTTCCACTCTGTATTGCTTCCAGTATTAACAGGCCTTCCAGCGTTCTATTAGAAAGTCAAGCTTCCTGATCAAAGATTTCCTGATATGTACACCCAAATTTTTAATGAATTTTTTTCAAAACTTTATTAAACTGTATGTTTAGAGATATTCTACAAAATTGCTCACCAGTATAATAACCTGGGCCTACCCACAATGCAGCAAACAAGGGTCGCAGCAGGGTACAGTAATGTATTACCCATGGTTCTTCTATCTGCATTGAAAAACCCCACTGCTAATCATCATACTAAAGTAGAGAAAACATAAACACCATAGGATAGAAAGTAAATGAATAAATTGTGAAAACTGTTCAGAAGTATAAAAAGTAGGTTACATTTCATTTTAAATTGCTGTTGGAATACTTCCCAGACTATTGTTATTTAGATTTAGCAGACTGTTCACAATCTGAGTTTCCCTGTCACGGGGGCCAGGTCTGACATAAAAATTACTGCAGCCAATTGAAAGGCAAAGGGATCTCAAATAACAGTGAAAGAAAGTTCTTGGCTTGGCCTTTCAGCTGGCTGAAATTGTTTTCTGCACCACTAGCTACAGAACTTGGTCACTGTGACAGGAATGCTCGGACGGTGAACAATCTACTTCTGCTAGCAGTCTAAATAATTATTTTTGATGCTACTGTAGAGCTAAGCGTACTAGCAGCAATAATTGAGATATGAGTTTGTTTCTCCCTAAGCATGGGAAGTTCAGAAAATGAGGACAGTCAGTTACAGAGCACACATACGCATATAGGAGTTTGCATGAACCAGATGATATCATTTAGCTGTGCAATGGAAAACGAGAACAGTTATCTATCAGCCAAAAACTTCCAGCCTGAAAGACTTGCCAGGGTGTATAATATCTGAGGGTACTTCTTGAAAAAGTGCTGTTTTATATTCATACCTCGAAAGTGCAGTTGCAGTAGGATCCATGTCATGTATTGCCTTCCTATGATTAAACTGGGGTGATTTTTACTTGATGTTTATAACATTATTGCTAATATTTAAATCTTGAAATGTCAGTTTATCAGCAAGTGCTAAACTATGAAGGATTGCCTAGAGAGCCCTAGTTTCCCACTGATCTCTCCCAGGCTGGATCCCCAAGCACTTCTTTTATACAGGGATTAAAATAGTTCCACGGTTGTCCGATCAGCTTACATCTGATACACTTTGGGTTCCCATTCAATGCAGAAATGTGAATTGACTTCAGAAACAACTCTAAGGATTTCATCTGTCACCATGGAGAAGCCACAGCGTCTGATATTAAATATTTAACCAACTCTTTTGTGCTTGTATCATCTAAGGCTATTGTGTTCTGTCTTTTTTCATGCATTACAAATAACACAGGGTAGAGTTTGTGGGTAACGTAGAATGTCATAGATCAGACCATGCCATTGATACTTTTACCAACCAGTGGAATGTTGTGACAGGCTAAATGTGACAAAAATAGCTTCGAGGGCACAAAGACCCTGCTTCATGCTTTGTTTCTGTTCTGGTTGAATGCCAAGAGGATCAGTCACTTACTGGTTTTTAAAACTCAGCCACCCACAATCAGAGATCATCCTATAGGATATCCTGGTTTTCTGCCACCTCATCAGTAAGAACCAAAGTCTTTTAAGCTGGTCAGTCTGATTGTATCATCTGTATGCAATTTTCTCTAGATTTATCAACAACAATTTAGTGTGAGGGCCTAAACAATTCATTCAGTGTGTATTCAGTCAGGTAGCCCTCACATTACATAGTTTTGGAAACCTAAAGAAGATTGTGGGATACTGTGTTTGCCTTAGTTCTATATAGGCTGC